CATATTATTTTTGTCTTAAATTAAAATTTAATATTTTTATAGATTACAGCTGAAGAGATTGAACTTGCAAATCAGGAATATGCTGGTCTTATAGATATAGTAATGTGTTCACTGCCAGATTCTTTATTACAACCTTTATTACAAAGACTTCATCTAGAAAAAGTGCAAAGGCAAAACGGACAACAGATTACTGCCAAACAATTTCTGTTCAACTGTGACCCGGCACTTAGAAGTGTTGTTGCCAAGGAAGCGTTACAATGGAGAAAAGGAAACGTAACACAGGTAAGAAAAATACATATGTCACTTTATACTTTATATTATAAGATTCTTTATATTAAACTTTACAAGAAATATAATATTTGTGTACATGATAATAATATAAACGTTAACGTTTTGAGATTGGAGTATTTTTACAATATGTTTATAGGAAGATCTTATCTGGAGACACAAAGGAAAAATGCACTTCCTAAATTTAATCAATCTTACTATAAATGCTATACAAAAGTTACAGTTTCTAGAGAAGCAGTGGCCATGTGTTTTATATGAAATTATTTATAATACTTTGTCCGACTTTTCTGAAATGGATATATACATGAAACGTTGCAGCAAAACACTTGAAAACAATAAGTAATATCATGTTTGTGCCTTAAAATAATATCATATCTATTACGATATCGCGTAATTTATAATTTTTGATGGACGATACGCAGAATCGTTAATGCTCAGTTTGGCCACATCAAAGAAATATGGATGCAGCAGACAATTTTGTGTTGTTATTGCTATTAATATATTCAATATATTTGCTAGAATTGGTATTTATGTATAAAACAATAAATTCTATTTAAGTATTGTTAAAATTTTCTTTTATATATATAGCCAATAAAAGAAATCTCATTATAATATGCTAGAAAATTGATTAAGCACATACGATTGCTATCAAATAATTTGCACAATTGTTTGATTTGTATATATGTATTTTTATCATCGCGATTAACCGTTTGAATATCAAAAAACATTGCTTCTTGAATTTTATTGAAATTTTAACATTATTCAGTATTACACAGTTTGTTGTATTAAATGCATCTTATTAACGGCTACTCTTGATGTCCGATAGTCGCACTTTGTCGCCGTGTATAGAGTGCTATTCTCAGATCAAATCGAATTGTCGGAGAATTTGTTAGCTCCTCCATGCTACTCAAACGGTTAAAATATACGGATATCGGAATATCACTTTGTACCGATAATAGATTCCACGCTGAACGAAATTGGTGCTTTCTTTTCTAAACAAGGTTCATTGTTTGTAGTAGGACAATCCTGCAAATCTCTCGTAGAAATAAAATTATTCAAGTCTCCATTCGCTATATACGATTGCGTTACCTCATTGAACCAGGGAATTGTTGGATATGCAGAATGGAAAGATTGTACTTTCAATGTGGGTTCAGCTTCTTGTTTTTGATCGCATCCGAGAGAGGATAAAGTCAACAAACGCGGATGCGTTGATACTGAAATGTGCAAACAATCCTTTGTAAGTAATTATAAAGATATTTTAAAGCATAACGCGTCTATCGACAACGCACATATCAAAGTGGAAATTTACAAACATTCTTTATTAAATTGTTACATATATGATTATGTTAAATAAGATGTAAAGAAAAATGGAAGAATTAATATATGCTTAATATATAATATAATAATAATATAATAATATAAAATTTTTTATATAATAATATAAAGGATTCTTTATTACAACCTTTATTACAAAGACTTCATCTAGAAAAAGTGCAAAGGCAAAACGGACAACAGATTACTGCCAAACAATTTCTGTTCAACTGTGACCCGGCACTTAGAAGTGTTGTTGCCAAGGAAGCGTTACAATGGAGAAAAGGAAACGTAACACAGGTAAGAAAAATACATATGTCACTTTATACTTTATATTATAAGATTCTTTATATTAAACTTTACAAGAAATATAATATTTGTGTACATGATAATAATATAAACGTTAACGTTTTGAGATTGGAGTATTTTTACAATATGTTTATAGGAAGATCTTATCTGGAGACACAAAGGAAAAATGCACTTCCTAAATTTAATCAATCTTACTATAAATGCTATACAAAAGTTACAGTTTCTAGAGAAGCAGTGGCCATGTGTTTTATATGAAATTATTTATAATACTTTGTCCGACTTTTCTGAAATGGATATATACATGAAACGTTGCAGCAAAACACTTGAAAACAATAAGTAATATCATGTTTGTGCCTTAAAATAATATCATATCTATTACGATATCGCGTAATTTATAATTTTTGATGGACGATACGCAGAATCGTTAATGCTCAGTTTGGCCACATCAAAGAAATATGGATGCAGCAGACAATTTTGTGTTGTTATTGCTATTAATATATTCAATATATTTGCTAGAATTGGTATTTATGTATAAAACAATAAATTCTATTTAAGTATTGTTAAAATTTTCTTTTATATATATAGCCAATAAAAGAAATCTCATTATAATATGCTAGAAAATTGATTAAGCACATACGATTGCTATCAAATAATTTGCACAATTGTTTGATTTGTATATATGTATTTTTATCATCGCGATTAACCGTTTGAATATCAAAAAACATTGCTTCTTGAATTTTATTGAAATTTTAACATTATTCAGTATTACACAGTTTGTTGTATTAAATGCATCTTATTAACGGCTACTCTTGATGTCCGATAGTCGCACTTTGTCGCCGTGTATAGAGTGCTATTCTCAGATCAAATCGAATTGTCGGAGAATTTGTTAGCTCCTCCATGCTACTCAAACGGTTAAAATATACGGATATCGGAATATCACTTTGTACCGATAATAGATTCCACGCTGAACGAAATTGGTGCTTTCTTTTCTAAACAAGGTTCATTGTTTGTAGTAGGACAATCCTGCAAATCTCTCGTAGAAATAAAATTATTCAAGTCTCCATTCGCTATATACGATTGCGTTACCTCATTGAACCAGGGAATTGTTGGATATGCAGAATGGAAAGATTGTACTTTCAATGTGGGTTCAGCTTCTTGTTTTTGATCGCATCCGAGAGAGGATAAAGTCAACAAACGCGGATGCGTTGATACTGAAATGTGCAAACAATCCTTTGTAAGTAATTATAAAGATATTTTAAAGCATAACGCGTCTATCGACAACGCACATATCAAAGTGGAAATTTACAAACATTCTTTATTAAATTGTTACATATATGATTATGTTAAATAAGATGTAAAGAAAAATGGAAGAATTAATATATGCTTAATATATAATATAATAATAATATAATAATATAAAATTTTTTATATAATAATATAAAGTTATATGAAAAGTTTGTGACACATATTAGAATATTTATGTTTAAATATAAACAATTTAATACAATATAACTGATTAAAACTGTATATTAAATAAGTTATATATCAATAATCAGACAATTTATGGAATCTATGGAAAGTGTTTACCAAATACATTATATACGCTATATTATAAAAGCGTGTATAGTGAAAACAAATTTAAAATTAAAAGGTTGTTTTTTTTGGATATCTAAATATTAAATCTCTGCATAATCAAGCTTTTTATTAAATTTTTATCAATATAAAATTCGACCAAATTTGTCAGATAGTTTTTAATATCTTGAGAGTAGCTTTTATATATTTGAAATATTGATGTGTATATATATCGATGTATATCGATATGTACATCGATCTATCAATATATGAAAAACTTATTTTCGGGCGAAATAAAACGAAATAAAATTTACTAAAATGTCAAGGAGAATGAGATGTCTATGGAAATGTAAATACTCACACGTGCTAGGTAAATTATGTACGGCATTTAATCCGTAGAAACCCTGCGTCACGCTAATACTCGTCTGCGTGAAATGTAAATGATGCCTTTGAAAATTCTTAGCTCTTTTACCAAGACAGGCAGCGTCCGACTCGTCGTATTTCGCTTTAATATAATAAGGAGGATTTGCGGTGTCTGTTGATACCTTATTCGTCGAAGATAGATGAAGATTGTCACCTTGCGCTTGTTGTTGCCTACGTAGAGCAACTTGCGCTGCCATTACCCGCTGTCTTTCGACGACTAACAAACAACAGGGACATCGGCAATCTTTCCACGCGCAGGATCTCTTGTGACCCTTCAAACCGGATATTACACCATGGTTTCGACATCTCGCGCACTTTGGACTTCTTAAACGTTGCTCCATGTTTGGATTCGAGCGATGATTTGAAGTGCCTCCGCCAGTTTTCATCTTGATTTTTATATTATCTCTCAAATGACATATATATTTATTCGTTGGAATATATCAATTCTAATTAAGAATTGTTTGGCCAACAATTAACGAAGAATATTAAGTACAGATCTTAATATGCAATCAATGTTTTAAACAGAATGTTCCACTATGCGCAATCGTGAGAAGATAATCTAGGATATCGTGCGCTTAGTTTAAAAAACTGATTTCTCTTCTGAGTAAGTTGTATTTGAAATATTCTACATGTTATCGATTTTATTCTTCTTATATACGATGATTTTTTAATCGATCGATTTTTTATCATTACATAGTTGTTTTTTTATTGATCGTGTCGGTTTTCAAATAGCACAATGAATTTGCACACATCGTTTTGCGCTTAGTTTTAATATTTGTACCTTTTCGAAATATTTTTGTTTATTTTATTAACGATCCCCGATTAGATCGCGAGACACATGATTTCTTGATTCAAGTTAATTGTAGCTTATTGTATCCGTTTAACTCTTCTCGGGTGAGTCGACTGAGTTACCGCGACGTCCTACTCTGGATGAGATATATACTTGTAAGAATATTTCTTGTATCTCTCCGTAAAGGAGGTGTGTTGTCTCATCTCCTCCTACTGATTCAAAATGTATTTTTAGCAGGTCGACGTGTTTCCATTGGCTCGAAAGCTCAAGAAACCCCGCCGCTTTCGCCGGCTGCGAACCAATGGACCACCATGTTTCTCTTCGTCTTCTTGTTATGAGTAACTCTACGAAAGAAAAATCTTTTGTTAACGTACTAGCTTCTTTGATTAGAACCTGCGTGATGGAAACGTATCGATGATATGTTAGTTGTGAAGGCTGGCATGTGTACATACATAGGTATACATATGTGAAGCAAAGTTTAATTGGAAAATTAATCATTTTTAAATCAAGAAATCATTAATTTTTCAAGTTTGTCATCTTTCACAATTGCTTGGAAGGAGTTACAATCGCACCGATATCTTTTTTCTATAATAACAATTTTTATATTTAATCCCAATTGCTATTTAATCTTATTTGTATTTATATATTTATTTATGTTATTAATTTATTCTTGTTGATGACAAATATTTTTATTTAATCTTGTTTAGAGAGAAAAATGACACGATTAAGATATAGCACACACACACACAACTCGATGCAAAATATCCTTTTAGAAATAACATTGAATACACAGGATGTTAACCAGGTGGTTATCGAGGAAGACCCTGGTGGAAGTCGGCGGTGTCATTCATACATTAAGAAAACATACTCGAAACTAATATTAACTGTGTGTTGGCAACATCCGAGAGGATCGTATTAACGAGCTCTTAGAGCAAGATCACAGAAAGAATGCCATATGGTTGCAGCTGCTGGCGCACAACGTTGTTGGTAAAACGAGATAGTCTGTCTTCTATTTTTGCAGTGAACAACACAATGTGTGAATAAAAGAGAACGAAAGAGATTGCACTATTATTTCGATCGTGTATATATGACAGCTAATTTTGCTGGGTGATGTAAACATCTTAGTGCAACTAAATTGTATTCTTTCTCTACAGAAATTTTATCACTGAAAGAAAATGCAAATTGTTTTCCATAAAATTTTCAACTTTAACTCATTCAAAAATTTTTAAATTTTAAATGCTATGCTATTGTTTTTTTTTTTTTAAATTAGTTGTTTTTTTTCAATTAATAATATTAATGCCTGATCATATGGTTCTCTAATTTACTGTAAATTGAACGATATATAAGAAGCCTTCTGTATAACACGTTTCTTCACGTTATTTTTTTCGTTCTCCTAAAATCGTACAGTTAGACTGATTTAAATTTACATATGCCAGTAAGCACGCGTGACACGTGACCGAGGAATTCATCCTAATGAGCGTGGAACGAAGGGGTGTCATCTCGTGGACACTTTTTCCTTTTTCCTTCGCTCCTGGACAGTTCAGCCCGAGGGTGTTGTCAAGACGGCAAATATGTTGACAGGTCATTCAACATCTTTCTTGCCTTAGTCTCGCCTTGGTAGAGACCACGAAGAAGCTCTGAGACGCGATGTTACACCTCCAAATATCCAAATCGACACTTGTCTTATATGATTCTTTCGAAAAGACATCGACCACGAAACAATTGATCGAAGTAAATGACACAATTCGCTTTTAATATAAAAAATTTAATAGTTTCATTGCCTTTCCTTTTTACAGTTAAAAAGCTAAAAATTGCAAGGATGAGACACGCTATATGGGTTTGTAACAAATTTTCGTTAAGGAAACGTCACTTACAAAATGTTTTGAAATGACGCGTGTTACAGAACTTACACATCCGTATCGTAAAATACGGATCGAATAAATCGTGTCAGTCTACAAAAACGAATAAATTAGATAGCGCGTGAAATTTTGCAAGATTTTTGACACACGCGTTGAGAGGCAAATTTATCATTTGTTTCCGTATACGCTTCGTTTAACCGCTTTATATAACATGGTTGAAGAATGAAAAAGTAAAATATCAATAGCTTTGTCTAAATATTAAAAAATATGTCAAGTGAATTGAGCTATTGACTCAATGATTCGGAATATTCGCGATGCCACACTGCACGACCAATTTTGCTTGGTATCTTGGAAAATTCATTATCGGTTTTACTGCAATACTATACCTTTACGTCGGCCTCTTAAAAGAAAAGTGAGCTTCTTCAACATATGGGGCCGGACCAAACCAAAACGACGAATAATGATGTCAGAAATAATCCTGTTTTTGTCCGACAGTGAGAAAAGTTGTGTGTGCGATGCCAGAATGAGAGAATTACTGAGGCAGGAAAGCGAAAAGTGAGTCACGTTGATCATACACGCGCATCTTCCTAAAGAGCTTTTATTTCAGTAAAACACTTTATTTCACTTTATTGGAGTATGTATGTCTAGCGTATGTCATGCAATTTAAAAAGCATGTAATAATAAGTATAAGCGTGCCGAAAAGTATCAAAAATCACATATTTGGCAAAGATATCACGAGACGATGAACGTATAATCATTAATACCATAATTAGGACATTATCAAAATTAATAATACACAATTAATAATTTCTATGCATTAGACGAGCGGACAGATGTGGATGTGCAAAAGGGTAAGTCGATGAAATTCCTCAGCGCTTCGTCAATTTAGAAGTATTATTCTTTTGTGTCTATAAAATATTAGCATTAAAGAAATAATGATAACTTAAGGGCAAAAGTCTGTCAAAATCAAATATTCGTAATCAATTGTATAGACTTTTCAATATATATATTTAATTTTCAAGAATTTCTCTCTTCTATCGTTTTTCTTTACTTTTGAAAATTTCTCATATTTTGCAAATTAAACTAGAAAATAAAATCGTACCATTATTAAAACAACACTGTCATTTATATTTTCATGTCCAATATAGGATGCGAAATATACGTTACGCGTGTGGGTGCAACAAGCCAACACGATTGTAAGTTTTTATTGCTCTTCAGTTAATTTTTCAAACGTAGAGATTAATATGTTTATAAATGTTTTAATGTGTAGAACATTGTTAATTATATCATTGGCGCAAATAATTACATCATTGATTATATAAACTTTATAATTTTTTAATAGGTTGCAGGATGATGATTGTATGATACCGGTAATTGCAAATGAATATAATAAGGATAATTGTGCGAGAAGTCGATGCTGCATCAGAAGAAATTCGAACTAAGAAAAAGAAAATGGTAACGACAGCCTTTTGCGATGTGCATTATTGTAAGGTCTCTCATCTAAAGCAGGTAATCATTTGCCCTCTATTTTCTAGCGGAACACTTACGATTCATTTAATCACCGTTAATGTGTCAAAGAATAAACGTAGGAAATTATAAGAAAACAAAATACAAAATTACTTACAATTAAAAATTCTATTTATGCATTTTCTATTGTTGATTGTAAGAAAATGTCATATATTGATCTTAATTATATACAGATCTGACTTTGAAAAATATAAAAAAAGATACAATTGTATCCTAAACAAATATTTTAAAGCTGTGTATGCGAATTTACTTTTAAAAGTAAGAGTCGTATTATTATCATAGCTAAAGAAAGAGCGAAAGAGATATAGAAAAAGAGCTTCAGCCATGTACATTTCCAATAGAGCAATCTGACGAATTATATGTATCGATTTGTGGGGCATGGATCGTGTTGCCATTACGTATATTGCCATCATGCGTTATCATGCCATTAAGCGCGATAGACAACGGTTACGAGTAACTCTCTACATATAATTGGCAACTGGCGAGTTAGGGATTCTATGAATAAATTCGACATACTGCAAGAGTGACACGCCCGGTCGCACGCTCCGAAAATCTGAAACTCGATTAATACGCGTCCCATCTGTAGGTGAAGAGTCTATAAGTAGATTTTGCGCGGGCAGAACGTCAGTCATATTCATATATTATTTATACTGACCTGACTAGAGACACCTCCTCTAGTTGCTAACGAGATGGATGCTTGGCCTAACCGATGCGTGTATAATATATGTTTTCAATCACGTGAATCAGGATTCTTTCGGCAGGTCTTATTTACATATTCATTGAATAAAACAAAATATAAAATAAAAAATACGCATTCGCATTAATTAGCTGTTTCTTAATAGGAATACTCATTTTACATTATCGTAAATATCTCACATAAAGGGTACCTCGCTTTTTATTTATTTTCTTGGAATAAAAAGATATTTTTTTAGAGTAATATAATGATTCTTAAAAAAAATCTATGAAAGAATAATAAGGAGATTGAAGATCAAATCAAATATCGATGATGAAAGTATATCTCTCGCTCGTACTTTACGTATTTTCGATGTATTCATATCTCGAATCTTTCCGCGATCTTTCCGCGCTAATCTACGTGAGATCTCTCTGAATGGCAGGCTTTGTGAGAGGAACGTCGCAGCTGCGTCTCTTTCGCTTCGTATTTTGCGCGCATTCCGATGAAATAAAACGAGATGGGTAAGGGTGGCAGTCCGAGTCAAGAAGAAATATTTCGAAACGGGAAGATGTTAAATGAGCGAACTGTCCGACTGTCACTCCGCCTAGTACCTAGTTTCTCAGTGCTTCACGAAAATGTGAGTTGAAACGATTCCATGAATACATCGTAGGTTTCCGTCGAAAATACACATGTAACATTTCTTCGTATTATGAAACTCTTTTTCGGTATATTTATTTTTACGTATATTTTAAGTACATCTAATACATCTAATAATCAATCAGATAGTTTGTAATATCACATATTTGGCCATTTTGGAAACATTCCTCGATCCATTTACATTTAACGATTTTTACAGACGCTAGATCATGTGCTTTCAAATTTCCCACAGTATCTGTTTCGTTACCCTCTACAAAGACATGCGTAACGGAATTATCGATACTGTCTTTAATCGTACCTGACATGAAACGGAATTTAAATTTAGCGCAATACGATTGGTTTTCGAAGAATCCAATTATATCTCTAAACAGTGAATAAGGCGATGCATTCCCATTGAATAATTCCTTGTCCATTTTTTTTTCTTGCTCAACGGTAAACTGATCCGCAAGCTGAAGATGATTTATGCAAAATTAGATTGGGGTGCGATAATGTAAAATTATTTTTAATGACAAATACTTTGGATGATGAAAATTACCGGTTTCCCAATCTTGTCGAAAGAACGCTTCAAAGTCTCTTCGTCCGCGTCGACAATAAAATTATCATAATATTCGTCATAGTTCTCCGCGAGTCGATGCTTAGTTATATCTCGACTACACAATAATTCCCACGGCAAAAAGTCACCTAATGAGATCACGCAATCGGATCGATTGGTAACGCGTTTAAACCAGTCCAAAGTAACAACGTCGTATTTTCCACTATTTACCATTTCCTTCCCTCGTATCTGAAAAAAAAAAATAGTTTGCGCGTAACTTGTCTTAATTTACCGTGAGACGTTATTCAAGCCTAAGATACGCGATAATAACAACTTACCGTTCTGTCATTGCCTACTATCACGCAGAAGGTTGTATTCATTGGATTCTGAACAATTCTAGCGCTGTGCTGCTGCAGTATTTCCTCAATTTGCTCCTTCGCTAATTCATCGGTACCATTTATCACACAAATTTCCTTTCCATCTAATAGTCGCGTAAGCGGTACTATTCGTTCTTTGTATACATTATACTCAATTGGTTTATTTCGACTTATTGTCTTTTGTAATTTAGGTACTGGTGCCTCGTCTACATCGCGCAAAGTAGCTTCTCGCTTGGTTAATTTTTGAATCATTCCCTTGTTCTATAATAGTCGAATTGTGTTATAAATTGTAAGCGTCATATTATAAATGATAATAGTCACTTTTGCGTTGCATATAATTATCGTCTAGCAGTGTATACGTACTTTGACTAATAACAAAAGTTCGGAACTAGTGCATTGACTGTACCATGGCTTATCCATTCTGATATCTATAACTCTAGGAAATCGCAAACTGTATCCAATGGGAGATTCACTACTGCGTATCATTTCGGTCGCTCGTATCGTCAGGATTATAGAATCTTCCGGACGGATCCACACATCCGGCTGTTTCCCCTACAGGGAATATAATTTAAATAAGATGCGTATGTGTTATAGAAGTAAATAACACTGTAAAATGTAACGATCGAGAAATATAGAATAATTCAAAGTGAATGTATTAAGTAATATAAAATAATATATATATAATAATTAATTTACCTTAAAGCCTGTAATATTTTCAGGGCATTCTTTAATCCAATGTGATGCAAATTTTGTTTGGAGATTACGCAACTCTTGATCCCGTATTCCACTGCTTACGGATGCTACAGCGAGAAATCGCGATGGATATTCTTCTTTATTATTTGTTGGAGCGGCAACGCCTATCACAAAGCTTTTAATTATTCCGGTATATTTGCCCTCTCCGTAATAACCGCCAAGTATAATCAGGTCTACATCTTGTACCAAATTATCAGAATACTGCAGAGAGAGAGAAGTAATACTTTAATTGTTATTTTTATCCATAGTATATATATATATATATATCACACGTCGATTATAGATTCTTTGGTGAATTCGCGTGTTCTCTTCGCGAGAATTAGACGAAAAGACGTTACATGTACTACACAAATTTTCAATTTGTTCTCTAAACATGCAACTCTTTATCGTAAAAAAATTAAATCTCTTAAAATATTTGTGTAATGACCAAGATTGATATGTTTTACCTCTGCTTTGATCTTATAACAACCGCCTCCATCTCGGACATTCGGTTTATATTTCATATCATGTTTCTTTATAACAAGCCCTTCTTCGTCATTACGGAGGCATTCATCGAATGCTTCTATCAATTCCTCCCTTGCAGAGAAAGATAATAAATATTTAATTTTTATCTCTCTCTCTTTGTTGAGAAAAGTAAAATAAAAAATTAAAAGCTATTTATTACATTAACTTAGTTCCGACATATAGAGGCTACAGATATTTTTTCTTGAAAAAAAGCAATATTTTATACTTCGGAAAGGTTTTAATTAAAAAATAAAGAATTAATTTATAAATATTCAATAATTTTCAAACGATACACTTAACACACTTATAACGTACAGTGATATCCTACCTATTCGAAATTAAAGAAGATCGACATATAATTAAAGAACCTTCTTCTTCGATGAATATATCATTGAGCAGTTTTAGTCGATCTTTATAAGGCACATCAACAAGTAAAATGTCATTGTGTAAAATAACATCGAATGCAATGAAACACGGTTGATGCCGACTGTTTGCCGACAAATTCTTGACGTCGAAATTCATACCTTTCGTGCCAAATATTCCTTTCTCTTTATGCCAACCTATTAATTCTCCGTCCAATATAAAAGAATGACAATTCGGATTTAAACGTCGCGTAAACACACTGGTCAAGAAACCTATACGCGAATATCGAAAATTATTACACTTTTAGAGAAATAAATTTTATATATATGTATATATTTTTTTTTGTTCGTACGTTCTATCTGATATAGCCATTCAAGAAAATTACATGAAAAGTCCATGTTTAATCTACTTTTAACATTTGATTTGTTATACCTGAAGATCCGGTTTCTCCATACCCAGAATTTTTTGTAATATCGTATCCTCTACGCGTAAAATATTTGAATTTTCCATCTTTCATATGAAGTTGCGACCTCTCGCCATCATATTTAGTTTGTACATAGTACAAGTCATTATCCCGAAATAGCTTTTCGATATTCTCGATGTCACATCTCTCTAGGAGCATCGGTTTGAAATGCGAAAATATTTGTATGCCGCATTTTATTTTCGTTTTAGGGTCATGCAACTGGTTACAAATCTCACGCAAATCATTCGTCACGAGAAACTTTTCATTCGCATCTTGATGATAAACTTGAAAAAAACAAATCGATTAATCTTTATGATTATTGCGACATATTTTGCGTTACTGATAAAAGAAATTACGGACTGTCCAATATCTGTTTTGTTCCTATGCCAAGTCGTAGGTCCTTAACTACAATTCGTGTTACCCATTTCATTTCGAAACCCGTGATGTGTCGGAAAAGTACTTTAAATGTTTCAATTTTGTCTTGCATTGTTGCTTTTTTCTTCGATATATCATCGAGAAATAAATTCATTCGTGCAATCGTGAAGCCAGTACTTGTTTTGGGTAATCTTTTATTTAAAATCCAGTAAGCTCGGTCAGCAAAATCATTTCCTACGAATTTGCCTGACGTAGGTTCTCTAAAATATAATATTTTTATATTGTTGACAAAATTAAAAGAAAAAGATCAAATTTTTTTTACAGATCATATACATATATGCGTGTATATATTAGACAGATTAATACTTGTTTACGTAATATATTTTACTTTAAATTCGAGCTTTACTTCCGATATATTTAGTAAACGCGCAATTTATTCAATTGATCATCTGACACAGAGTCATGATACTGACCGGTAATTTGCTAACTTTTTATAATTGTCGCTGTTTTTCATAAAACCATGTACATCAGCGTAAAGTCTTGCTAATGAAGGAGCTTTCAGATTATGTGGTCCACGCTCTCGATCAAGACGAGGTAATATCAATCTTAATATTGGATACAGCGAAACATCCTGAGAGAGAGAGACAAAATTAAACTAAATCATTATAATTCTGCTATCAAACTATTTTGGAAAGTTACAGAATAATTTTGAAAAGATATATTCTCATTTACATCTAGTCATATTGAATCGTCAGAAATTATGAACATAAGTTTTAATAGTATTTCTTGACGAAATTAGAATCTTTTCATTAGAATTTATTTAAAATTTTTTCTTATATAAATAAATTCTCATATCACAAATATATTGTCTCCCCTTTATAATATATTATATAATGGTGTAATTACATACCGTTTCGGGATATTCAGTTTTCAGTTTGTTGCCAATATTTCGACATCTATCGATAAATGTTTGCAAGATTTGCGCTTTCTTTTTTATTCCTTGCGCCTTTGCAACATTTTCCAAAATGTTACACAATTCTTTAAATTCAATTTTAGCATCTAAATTAATGGCCATTATCCTAAAGAAGAACCTTTAAATTAGCTGGACTTTGATAGGATATATATATTTCAAGATTGCATGATAAAAAATTATATTGTTACGTTATGATCACATGTAGCAATAACAAAGATATGTTGAAAAATATTGTAAATTAAGAAAAAGATGGAAGATTTCGAATGTTTTCTTCTCATATCATATGACAGTATATTTTATTAAATTTTAATCATAAATGTTTTAATTTCCTGATTTTTTATAATATTAATTGTATTAATAATAGGTAGAATTATAACATAATAAAACTCTACGGAGGCATAACAGTATATTAAGTACAAATTCTATCACACTTGGACGACTCAGATTTTACATTTTTTATTTAAATCGTGATATAATTTTCAAGATACATTCTAGCAAGAAGATGATTTTCGGATTGCAGATAGATAAGATGTAAATTGAAAGCTGCTTCTTTTTTTAAGTCCAAAAGATTTGCGTGCTGTTTAACTAAATCTCCCGGATCTTCTTCCAGGACCAATTTATAGAAGTGAATCGCAGATGGAAATAAACCAATTTGATGAAATGCCCGCGCCATGTTGTAATAGGTTTCCTGTTTACCATCTTTACCACGTAGTTGCATATACTTTTTGAAAAAGGCTAATGCTAAATAAAAAAAAAAAGTTACTTTGAAAAAATATATATTATAAATGTATATATTATTAAATTACATGTTAATATATTAATGTACACACTAAACATTATTTTTAAATAATATTCTTATCACATTAATTGGAATATTTTGATAGATTCTCTGTATACAAGTATAATTTTAAATAATTATGGTAATCTATTTTTCTATATTTGATATATGCATGCGTGCATGTGCCTCCATGCATGTGCCTGCGTGCATATATGTGTAGTTTTTTACCTTGAATTACAAGTTGACTTTTCTTAGCTGACATTTTTTGACATGCCATTTGTTATTTAAATCGTGATATAATTTTCAAGATACATTCTAGCAAGAAGATGATTTTCGGATTGCAGATAGATAAGATGTAAATTGAAAGCTGCTTCTTTTTTTAAGTCCAAAAGATTTGCGTGCTGTTTAACTAAATCTCCCGGATCTTCTTCCAGGACCAATTTATAGAAGTGAATCGCAGATGGAAATAAACCAATTTGATGAAATGCCCGCGCCATGTTGTAATAGGTTTCCTGTTTACCATCTTTACCACGTAGTTGCATATACTTTTTGAAAAAGGCTAATGCTAAATAAAAAAAAAGTTGCTTTGAAAAAATATATATTATAAATGTATATATTATTATATTACATGTTAATATATTAATGTACACACTAAACATTATTTTTAAAATCAATATTCTTATCACATTAATTGGAATATTTTGATAGATTCTCTGTATACAAGTATAATTTTAAATAATTATGGTAATCTATTTTTCTATATTTGATATATGCATGCGTGCGTGTGCCTGCGTGTATATATGTGTAGTTTTTTTACCTTGAATTACAAGTTGACTTTTCTTAGCTGACATTTTTTGACATGCCATTTGTAATTGTGTAACACCTATTAACAATGCTAACAATGCACTAGGTGCTACCTTAAATAGAGAAATATAACCATTTAATGCATATTTGTATGTTCCTGAGACAAGACAGTTATTTGCATGCATGATATGCAAATATGAAAATACATCTTCTCTTCCAAGTAATCGCATTATGAATCTGTTATGCCTCAAATCTTGGGCTCTCTGAATAATTATATTTAATAAATTCCACGAGTTGGATCTTTGACAGACACGTACGATGTCTCGCACGATATTATATCCATAAAACGAATCTTCATTATGTATACAGGAAATTAAACATAAGAAGATTAGATGGGAGTTCCTCTTTTTAAATCGCTTTGTTGTCAAAGCAGTAAAACATATTCTTTGAAGAAAACCAAACTTTTTTAATTTATATGCTAGCTTGCACATTTGTAGAAAAAGTAGAAATTCATTTTTTTCACTCAGTTTTGTATTATCAGCAAATATTGGCGCGTTTTCATCTTCTAATGTTTCCCCAGATGCTAAGCGACGAAGTTTTAAACTCTCAAGGCGTTGCCGAACACCCGTTGGGCGTGCCACTGCATTTAATTCAATCCTTCTCCTTATATTAATACAATGCCTTGAAAGAAGTAACATTCCCGATGTAAAATATTCTTCGTATCTTCTAACTTTATAAAGTAGTAATATTCTTTGATAGATAACATCCGGATCTAATGTATCAGATTCAGGATCTTGATAGAGAACTTCTATTGCTTTATCATAATGTTCTGCTTCTTTGTAAAGTTTAGCTAGAGCTACTCTTGCGCCTAAATGCTGCGGTGATAATTTTCGGACAATTTCGTAAGATTTTATGGCTTTATCCATGTCATTGCAACCAGCCCAACATTCTGCATGTCTTAGCCAAACTGCAGCCAAACTAAAATTTGAACTTTCAACTAATGGATCCAATAAAATTAATGCACGCTGAAATTCTTTTTTGTCCATTAATGCTTCTGCCAAATCTAGAAAGAGATCTCCAGAAATTTCTGGGTTTTCATGAGTGTAAAAGTTACGTAAAAGTTCGTCAGCTAACTGAATATAATCCAATTCAATAAGAGTTATAAGAAATTTTGCTTTTAAGTCAACAACTACATCATCTGGTACCTCACAAGATTCTATTTCATCAATATTTTGGCTTTTTACTGGAGATGTAGCTTTTCTTTTCAAATTATTCAATTTTTCTTCCTCTTCAGGCTTTGCACTGTTAATTATTTTTTCTTGTTCTGTTTTTTTATTTTCCTTATATCGTATCTTAATATCTGTATATTTGACTAATATATTTAAACATTTATTGAATTGTTTCAGTGCTATTAACAATTCAGTCATGATATTAACTTCTTCTAATGTAATGAGATTAGGACATTTAACAAAAATGGTCTCCATTGCTTCTAATGCTTGTTCATTATTATTTTCTTGCATATGATGTTTGGCTAATATTTTTGCATATTTCAATATATATTCACCGTCGTCAGATTCCAATTGATGAATCAATCTTGTATATCCTCGCAAATATGCCTTTTTATCTCCATTTTGTTCTTGGAGTTGTGCTCGTATCTCATATAAATTTATGTCTTTTGGACTCGCTTGAATCGCTTTAGAGTAACATGTTATTGCTTGTTTTATATCATTACTATCTAGTGACATGTTAGCTAATCTTATCCACTGGTCAGCATCTTTAGGACTGAGATGTGCAGCGATTAGAGAAAATTGTAATGACTTTTCTGGTTGATCATTTTCGTATATCATAGCTAATGTCTGAAACGGTTCTGGGGCGCTTGGTACTTGTCTGAAGAAATAATCAGCAAATGTTTAATATTTTTAAATAATCTTTTGTAATATAAACTTAAAAATGTATTATCAATATAATACATATTATTATCAATATAATATATTAGAAGCACTTGCCTAATAATTTCCATACATATTTTGGTTGCTAAGTCTATTTCTCCTTTGGCAAATCTTAAATTTGCTTCACCCATAAGTCCTTGTAAAACTGGTGGCAAAATACGTCTTTTCTTTCTCTGACGCACTTGTTGCACATTTACTTTGCTTGTTTTTTGTTCTGTAGTCTTTTGTACAACACGATCCATTTCAATATTTTTTCTAAAAATAGAATTGAATATAATTTCGGAATTTTATTGCAATATTTTTTTCAAGTCATACCTAGAGTTATCATTTTCTATTATTTCCACATCTATATCCTGATCCATTCTCGATGAATATTCACTAAATGTTAATTCTCCATTTAAAAATTGTTTTGTCAATCGATCTTCCTCATCTGCAGTTAGTAACATATCCTGATCTTCTGTATCCATAATATCCTTGTTAGAACTACACGATGGAGAAGGTATATAATTTGGAATAACATCTTTAACTTCTTCTATTTGTAATGCTTTAGCTTCAACAAATTCATTGATATCCATATCCATTGAATTAATAGCGCTTTCATCCAATTCTTCAATTATCACTGGTGCTACAGTACTATCGTCATTAATAACTAAACTGTCATCGACAGTAGATTTTTCAAGTTCCACATCCATTGCAACTTCTTTAATTATATCCATGTTGATAATTGTTTTGCTTGTATCACATTCCATTCTTGTTCGCTATATGTATGTTTCATCAAACTTATGTGTTAAATTTATAATATTGCATAAGTGTGTAAACTGTCAACTATATTTAACTATAATGTTATTATTCATTTTGTTATTGTTACATGTGATATATAATAGGACCAACGTAACAAATATGTGATGTAAAGAAAAATATATTTTGCTACAATTCTTTTATACTTGCCATAGAATTATTGTAAATTAACGAAATAAATTATATATAAATTTGATTAGTCAACAAATGTAAGAAGTTAAAACCGTTTAGTTTAAATGTAACTTCTGTATAAAACTTTTCCTTTTTTTTCTTGTTTCGCTGGATATTTGTGCTCATGTAGCACTTATCACAACATTGCAAATGCTCCTATAAGCATAGATTGTAACAATAAATATTGCAAACTATTCGTAATTATTAGTCCATTTGACTACGTTGCAAATGACCAATCATATCAATCAGTGCCTAGGGTAATCAGTACGATTGACCAATCAGAGAGTTTTATTTTGAATTTGATAAGTGACGTGGGTAACTGGATACCACTTCATTGACTATGTAATGACAGATATAGGTCGGTATTCATAGTCAGTTCTTATTTTAAGACCGTCTTAAGCCCGTATCAGACTACGCATTGAAGATTGAGATTGAAGATTGAAGATTGAAATTTGACCAATCAGGACAAAGAAATTTTAGTTCCTTTTGTTCTGATTAGTCAAATTCCAATCTTTAATCTTCAATCTTCAATTTTCAATGCGTAGTCTGATACGTGCTTTAAGGGCATTCTATAATGGCAGTAACAAGGCTGTAGGGCCGGTATTCATAGTCAGTTCTTATTTCAAGACCGTCTTAAGTAATGTCTTAAGATGCTAATAGAAACAGAGTATGTCCTTTTCTACGTGCATCTTTAGTGCCGGTCTACAATAAGTGATTTAAGCCTTAAGCCTTAAGAAATTGACTAATCACAGTTGAGTATTCTCCTCATACTTGACTGTGATTGGTCAATTTCTTAAGGCTTAGAGCTTAAATCACGTATTGTAGACCGGCACTTAGTGATGTAAAGACCGAGAGTAACGAAATGGGCAATTCCCATTTGCTCTTAAAACCAACTCTTAAAATTTTACTGCCATCCTACTGCCATTGTAGAATGCCCTTTAAGTAATGTCTTAAGATGCTAATACGGCTCTGTGATTGGTTTAGGACATCTTAGGGTGCCGCTTAAGACGGTCTTAAATATAAGAACTGACTATGAATACCGGCCTATGAATACCGGCCTATGTCTATGCTCGCAATACTCAATCCAGTCTATAGCCGGTATTCATAGTCAGTTCTTATATTTAAGACCGTCTTA